TTTAAGTGGTTGTGCGTATGTTGCCAACAACTTTCATCGTTTTTCTTTTCGCGGAGAAATTGCAGCCTGACCACTTTCGTTCAGGTGGTTAAAATGGTCGCCGTTGATTTTGTAGGAGAGACACCAGCAAGATAGGAGAGATTGTAAGAGTCAAATAGTGCTTCGTACGAAAAGACACCATCTTGTGGGCCACCTCTTTTAATTCCTTGAAGTTTGAACTCGAAGCTTCGAAGTTTGATATCGAAAAAGCACCTCTACAACTGTCAAGCTCTAAGGCAATTCGCCATCCACCTTGTCAGTCCCTATAGGAAATAGGATGCCTCAGTGGTTGTAGGTGTTCGTGGCTACGGGCCTGCAAGTGGCACCTCTTTGGCATATGAACTTAGCCATTAACAGTGCATCCAAATATGTGTAACTCTTAGACTAGGATTAGAAGTAGATATGCAATCGCATAACTGCATATGCAGAAGTGTTGAGAAATCCCTATAACCCTCCCATTTTTTGATTTCAGCTAGGTACCATATGTTTGTAGGAATGCATAGTATACTGATATATCTTAGATTTTTGCTCGTTATCCTGCATCTGTGCAAGTACTCATGCACTTGTCCATCATTCGCAAAGTTTACCAACATTTGCTGTCGCTGAAGTGTAGTGCCAACAAAAATAAACAAGTTATCTATCCCCTGGACCAAGAATCGAATGAATTGTTTAGAGTTACACCCAGTTACAATGCAGTGCAGCTGGATAAGGGACGAATTGCACGCAAACACACACACACACACACACGAACAAATGCCTAAGAGCATCTGTGTGTTAGTAGTAGTAGAGTAAACAAAATAAAATTAACATCCTTGTTAGCTGTAAAAACACGTTCGTTAAATATTCTTACCGAATAGAGCAGGAGGATAATGCTGCTTTCCCACCGATGCTAGCTGCATGCCCTTTTATTTATTTTTTTCTGAAGTAGTTGTTGTTGTTGCCGCCTTAGCACGCTGTCATTGACGTGTCGATGTCGTGTTGATGAGTCGCCGTTGTCTCACTGCCCTCGCCTCACCACATGGTTTTTGTTGTTTGTTACTCAGTTTGCTACTCAAGCGCAAACTGGCAATGGCAGCGGCTTTTTCTATTTGTCTACTGTTTTTTTTTCACCCAACACAAAGTTCTCTATTTATCCAAATGTCTGCTGCATCCTTGTGTATCCTTGTTAGCCGTTTTGCTTTAAATGAGCGCTTGTGCGCTTGTGTGAATTGTAACAGTTTGTTTGCGCGATTCGGTTGGATTTTTCCGGTGCTTTCTTTCATTTCATTTCGGTTCGTCATTCTATTTGCTACATATTTTATTCGGCATGACTGTTTTTTTTTTTGCTTCATATTTATACTTGTTTGCCATTTCATTGCTGTTTTTGTCACCCACTCGAGCAGTAAACGGCATTCACACTCACTCGCACACACACACAGAAAAGGGATAACTAACTACCAAGTCGCCTGTGCTTGTTCTCAAGCACGATTACGATGTAGCGTGGCGTGGCAGCGGATGAGGAAGATCGTCGTACGCGTTTGCATTGGTTAAAGGACAAATATTTTAACAAGTGTCAAATACACACGCTACTTAAAAACACGTACGCGTCATTTGGTGTTTAGAGAGTATAAGAGCGCTGTCATGAGGCGGTAGGGGAGTAGGGGAGTTGTGGTTGGTGGCCAAAGTGTTGCCATTATGAACGTTTGCACTTCTCTATTGCGTGGCTGTAATGTGTAGGGCTGTGGGGCTTCAACTTTATTCAAGTTTATTTTTCAACTTTTTTTCGGTCAGAAAATTTTTACAAATAAATATGTTGGCCTGTTGCTGACTGAAGAGCTTTTGGAAGTTGTTGACATTTTTATTCGTTTTAATTTACAAATTTACGGTATATTTTCTCTCACTTGAAGTTGGTTTTCCGTTTTGAAATGTAAAGACTTGGGGCGGTTAGTATACCCTTTTTTGTTTTCATATTTGTCAAATACTCAATTGTCTTAAATAATGTGGTTTCTTCAGATCTCACTCTACATAATCTGATTACAACAGGATAGGAGGACGACCTCAAATCTGCTGAGTAGATCACTCACAAAGCAGTCAGCATATTAGCAACCATAACGGGACACTTATTTCTAGGCAAGCATGCAGCAAGGATATGCCTGAACTATTATAGAACTGCACGCATCTGGCAGCTAGAATGTAGCAAAGAAAGTGTTCAGCATTTCCTTTGTGTGGATTTTTCAGCCTTAGTGACGATCTTTTAGTTCGAGCCCTCGTCGGAGCAACATCCAACGCATTTTTTCTAATAGCGGTATCTATGGCCAACCTGCCAGGTGTAATTTTTCCCAACTAGCTGCAGTTCGGAGGCGGCGTAGAACTCTACCTGTGTGAGAACATCAAATCGGCCATCACAGGCTGACAAGGAGCTTGACCAAATACTTAGCAAAGTATATGAAGCGACGCATATTTATTTATTTTATTATGATTACCTAAGAGAATTTAAAGCAGACTTAAAATCAGAACCTGCAGAGCAACCAGATTATCCAAAAAACTATAGAAATATTCGTACCTCGGCAATGGGACGGTTCACACTTTGGCACTAAAAGTAGGGTTGCCAACATTTTATAAGAACTTTATAGTCCTTTTTCAAAAAAATCTGAAAAAATATAGTAAACTTCAAATATATATAGTACTTTTTTTTAAGAAAAAGTAAAAATGTTTTTTAAGTCTACATCTTTTTTTTCTTATGCATTTCCTCTATAAAAAAAAATATATTTCTTTGAAAGTATCATATGCTATATCGCAATCAATATTTAAATTAATAGATATAAATCAAAAGTTCACTTTTATTAGTGAGGTAGTCGCTTTATTTCTTTCATCTCACCATTTCACTATCTTAATAGAAAAAACTCTTTCTAGGAATTCCGAAGTTGCAGGAATAGAGAGCATAAGCGAAACAATTTTAAGTAAATTTGGTAAATCTTTCTAAGTATTTTTAAAAATGTTGCCATTTTTGATCTGCGGATCCTTTGTTTTAAAGTACATTTCTTGTAGTATTGTTATTTCGGTATAAATGTCATCCACTTTATAACATTCTTTCTTAGAAATTACTGATATATATTTATATTTATAACCAGGGACGTGAACCGGATGAAAAATTTGGTCGGTTCGGTTCAGCGGTTCGAACCCTTGTTGCACTTTTGGATTGTTTCGTCAAAGCGGTTTTTTTGGTCTTTGAACCGGGATTTCGGTTCGGTCCAACGGTTCAAAAAACAAAAAAATAATGCGCAAATTTAAGTGTCAAGTGTCAAGTGCAACAACGCGCAAGGTTAAGGGTCAAGTGAGATGGGCTGCCTTTACATTTGATATTGTCACATGGTAAAAAAAACATGGTACGTTTTACCATGTTTAACAAAAAGAAAAAAGTAGGTACATTTATCTATCGAAAATTGGTTGAAACGAACCTTTAAACCTTTAAAGAAAGTGGTTCGGTTTTCGGTTCGGATCAAACTTTTGTGGAAAATTTCGGTTCGGTTAATGGTTCAGTTAATTAATAGAAAAAAGCGGTTTTCCGGTTCAAAACCGGTTCGGTTCAAAACCGGTTCGGTTCAAAACCGGTTACCGTCCCTGTTTATAATTGAAGAAATATAGTATTTTTGCATACTATATTTTTTTCCTACAGTATATAGTACGCAGACTTAAAAAATAGTATAATACTATATATTATAGTACGGTTGGCAGCCCTAACTAAAAGTAACGTCAATACCACTTCGCATAATTTGTTCGCTTCATTTTGGGGGAGCCTACGACGCATTAGAACAATTTTCGATTTTGGAAGTAAAAATAATGAGTTTGATTCTATTTTTCAGGTTACTGCAGAATCCATTCCAGGTTTAATGTTCGCGAAATTGTATCCCTGAATACGAATAACATTTTACGAACATATTTATGTACTTTAAATATATTCATACCTACGTTCATAACAGAGTGATTGGCCCGGGTTTTCTAAATCGGTTTCCACCAGTTCTTTTTTTGATATCTATAGGCGTTTTTTTTCGAAATCTTGGTTTTATCGGATATCGAATAAACCGAATTTTTTAATCGAAAAACCGTTTTTTTTACATACAAGGCTTTTTCCAATTTAAAGGAAACCTCTAAATAGTTCTAAAATTATATCCTAGGTTATTTGGGGATGAACAGGATATCATATTCCAATAAACGACTGTTTGGAGCTTAAGCGTTGTCTACGTGTTTGGTCGAGCTTCTCCTCCAATTCTTGTTCTGCTTCTAGATGTTGACACAAATGGAGAGATGTACAGTTTTAGTCCACCTCCGAAGAAGCTTTTTATGGCAAAAGTACACTCGAAGGTTTGCCATTGTCTGCGAAAGGACGAAAGCTATTCAAAAACACATTTTTTTTGATGTTGCTGGGATCAGAAATTGAACCACACTGTGTAAATCGTGAAGATGATAATTGATGAACTGATGAACCGCGTACTTGCTATTCCCCTAAACAGAACATAAGCCCAGTGAAAAAGTCATGGCGCCCTGAGGAATAATGCGCTACACAGATTGCAATTCTTATCTTCATAAGGATCTTTTATTTCCATTAATTCGCGCTTTTTCGCATTTCAAATGCAAATGAGTTTTCTGAAGAAATAGAGCAAAACTACAAAGACATACATTTCTGAGTATGTGCAGGTGCTGCCTGTGTATCTATAAAAAGGCAATGCACATTACTGGCGTCTGCCAGGGTTAAATTCAAAATTCTAATGCGCATTTGTATGTTAGTTAATCGGCATTAACTTTGCGCTGTGTCAAGCGCTTAATACTTTTTTAAAATTATCCGATCCCAATGAGGGGCGTGCTGGACTTAACATTCCGACCCTTTTTTTTTTGTCTTGAAATCCCTCTTAAGGTCTTGCGCATTTAAACGAATAAATTTTTTCATTGCATACGTACTAAATTTCTTCATCTTCTCTTTTCAGCTATGCCGTTATAATTGGTCTCATCGAAATCCTTTCGCGACGTTGCATGAAAATACGCGAATCCATTGAGAATCATCAAAGTGTGGTGCTCTCGTTGCTGGCCACGCTTGGCTTCCTCACACGTTTCATTGATGTCTGTCCGGCAGGTAAGCAACAAAAAACGATGGCCTAACTAATCGCATACAAAGTCTTTAACCAGTCTTTAACACCAGTAGCTGAAACGTGGTTTTGGCCACTCGGCAATGAACAATAACTAACTGCCTTTTATTGTAGTTGTAAACGTGATGCAACTGCTGTGCGAGTCTTTTAAGTCGGCTATTTTGTTAGCCGTTTGTTAACATCTTCTGGCTAATTTGTTGTACCAATTTAGTTCGTTTGAATAACATTTGTTTTCTTTCTCCTTCTATGCTTTCGCAGGACCCACAGACGCGACGCGCTTCCTGGGCGCGGCCAAATCCACGGAACTCTTTGGATCAGTATCGATGCTGTACGCGTGCGTTGTGCCAATCGGTGAGTAGCCGCTGGCGGAGGAAACTAGAACTGAAGAATTGAAAGAATTTAAAGAAAAACAAAAAAATAGAAAATTAATTGCTATTTTAGGATAGTGGCAAATGCAGTTACTTTTTTATGTTTTTTTTTTGTTTTGTTTTTTCTCATTTGGCTGTGATTCATTACTCGGCAATACATTCTGCTCTCCTTCGCCTTTCGCACATTCGTAAAACGTCTAAGTACATTCTAATCGAGTGCAAAGTGCATTTTTACGCTTGATTGGCCTTTTGTCGATTCTACGCTAGCTGACGTGAGATGTGAGCAAAGGCGGAAATTAGTCATTTTACCCTTTTATGTTTTTATTAGCTCCATATCCGGACAGTTCAAATGTGGATTTGAGATGAAGTTTTTTTTTTTTTTGTATTTTCAATCGAGTTGCTTGGATGACTGTAATTTTTGTTTGTTCTCTTCGCAGGTGAATGCATCCCACCGCGCACTGTGTCATTGGCGGCAGCAACCTTCAATCTGTTGGTCTCCATGGCGGTGCTGGATTTGGCGACGTTTCAGGTAAGCAAAGATTTAACGCAGAATACTTTAATCTAAAATTAAAAATAAGAGAATGTGTGAATTGGATAAATATTTATGCTTATTAAATTGTTATTTGTACATTGAATCCATATTGTGTTAATCGATCCTGGCGTATTTAGGCAGGTTGGTCTAGTGGTAAAGCGTGGTCCGGCGTATTTTTTTCCACGTCCTGCGTTGAATTTCGTGATATGTCTTCTTCTTTGGAACAACTTACCCTACAACAGGACCTGGCCATAACTTGGTATATTTTCAATCTGTCTCCGAAATCCTTTGGCTTCGTTCTGTAGTAGTTGTAACAGGCTAAGAATTTTCCAAACAGTTTCGGGGAATATTGTGAACAGACCAAGGCAGTAACAAATTTGGACCATCCATAATTCCTTAGTATGCCCGACTTTTGTCTGAACGTTTGGTAGGATCTTTTCTCCGATAGTTGCGTTGTTTGTGGATATATCCCCACGTGTTGGAGTATTCACGGTGGCTTTCATACCGAAGGTCGACAAAAGCTCTTTTCGATTTTTCTTAAAGCTCTGGATGGGCCGATTCATCTGCTCATTAGAAACAGGGCTGATACATATTGCCAAGCGCTATACATAACCGCCTTCATACGCTTGTGAGGTCGATAGCGAAGGGATTCATACCCAAAACTTCACTGGGTGCCTTTCTCGACATCAAGGAACTGTGAATCATGTCCTTATAATGTTCCTTCTGAGGACACTCGCCACTCGTATTTGGATTCATAGAACTGTCGCGGCATAATGACGCAGTGCTACCAACCAGCTACCCTTTTTGAAGATGGTGAAAATGGCCTTGATAGGCTACCGGGCGATTCTCTGTGTGGATGGCAGTAATACAAATTTCGATAACGTTTATGATCTGATTCAAGAGCGCTGGAACCTGATTATTAAGTGGTCTAATCGTATGCGAACAGTGGACTTGCTGTAAATCCTAGTAAAACGGAACTCAACTTATTTACTAAGAAGTGTTAGATACCTCCGGCGAACCTTGTATCTAAGGACCCCTCACTGCCTAGGCCTTAATCTGGCGCTCGTCGACATAGTCGGAAAAGGACGCTGCCGCAAGGGTTGCAGTCAGACTAGCACCATTTCTAGTCTCCTCGTTGGGCAAATCTGGAGCCTTGGCTCACGGCAATGAAAAAGGGAGCTTCGGTGGGGCCACTCCGACTCATTCGATTCCATCAATATCCCATTTAGGCTTGAAGATTACTATAGTGTTTTCCATTAAGGATTCAGACAATTGGCTACTGATTTGTGCGAAGTCAAGGAAGCAAATATTTACTCGAATTGAGGGGATCAGTGTCCTTGTCCCGTCCAAGGCTAGTCAGGCGAATACCTGAACTCTATTACAGTACTGATGCAGGATTCTACGTGGCTGACGAAGAGCAACCTCAAGCTGCACAGTGGTACAAACGAGAAATATTAAAAATAAAATGTTAACAAGCCACAATAACATTGACAAATACGAGAAATTTACTATTCAAAAAGGTTTACAGTCTACAACTCCATTTTTTCTTAAAAAGGATAATTAAATTCTACGGAGGCTTAGGGAACTAATTTTAAAATTTTTATTTGTTTATCTAAAACTTTTTTAGTGCGAATTTCAGAGAAAGTTACAATTTTGAAGAAAATGGTTTCTCTTGGTCCTGTTAAAGTATGTTACATAGTAAAAACTAGTTTACAACATATATGCGGTTCCTTAACACCGAAAAAACTTGCAAAAAAAAATCTGGAATTCTGTCAAAAACTTTTTAAAAAAATATTTTTTTTTTTTTTTTGGAATTATAGCTAGGCTGTATTAAATTTTAGTGCTGATATTAAAAAGTAACGCGTTTCTTAACCACTTGAAACATGCAGTTTATTACACCAATGGGCTATGAAACTGCATACCTAAACTTTTTCTAAATTTTAAATTTTTGTAAATTTTTTTTTATAACATATGAAATTTTTCTTTCAAAATTTTTTAATTTTCGCGGAACTCTATAATTGTTTTCAAATAGTTTTTATTATTTATTAACAGGAACAGAAAAATCGATTTTCTTCAAAATCCAAATCCGTCAAGAACATAAGACCTTTTTGAGTAGTAAATCTCGCGTTTTGCACCACCGTGCGGGGGTACTTCTATTTGGACTGTATTTGGATTACTCTTGGATAGATGTGCCACGCATCAGCTTCAGGCGAGTGCAAGTTTTTCTGCCCTAATTTTCTGGACCAATTCAGTCAAGAATCACGTTAAGCTCACGAAGCCGCAGCATTCAATTCCGTTTGGGGTATGAGCAGGACATTGTCCGGATGGATTTCGAACGGCGAGACAAAATACGACACCAGATCCTCACAGTCGCAGCTGCTTGGAGGACGACGAAGCTCTTCCAAACTGCGCTCTAAACGCCTGGTCTTTATAAGCTCTGCGGAAAAATAGTTTAACTGAAGGCAACAATACGCCCCATCGCCTTCTAGCCAAGTATTGCTGGCTTAACTTTGAAAACTTAAATCAATGCCCATTTTCTGTGCCACTCCAGTTCGTTCCCCCTCCTCCAGAAACAAATCAAGCGTAGGCAAATGAACAAATCAGCCAACCAATCGGCCAACCAACGTATTGACAAAGTCACAAACGAACAAACAAACAAACAATCAAACCAACGAGTGATTGCAGAAAAAAATTGTTCAAAAGCATTCATTCGCTTCTTTACTTTGCACTCGGAAAGTTTTTCAAACGTAAAATCGCTACAAAATTAAAATAACGAAGAATGGAAGAGGAGGAATGGATGGATGCAAAAAGACAAACAAAATTAAAATAAAACACATATGAAAGGCATGAAAGTGAATATAAAGTTAAGAGTAAATCGAAAAGCGTTCAAAGTTACAGTACACACACACACACACACTCCCACAGAACGCTGGTTGGCGGCAGGCTATATTGGAAAGTCAATAGCCGCAGCAGCGCCGTCCGCGTCTATCGGGGCAACAACTCAAACGAATTGAATTTAGTAAAAACTTTCGAGGGCCGCTGTGGGTCTGTAGCGTCAAGTATTGAGCTCTACAAGTCCTTTGCTTTGTTTCGATCAACATTGGCGACGGCGACGACCAACTGAATGAACTGAAGTTGTAATTTCCGGAAAATGCAAAACTTTACCAAACACATTTGGTTAGAAACAAATAAAGAAATAACGATAACTTTCAATACTTGGTGAATGTTAAGCAAAAACAGCAATAAGTGAAGGACGAAAGCGAGAACAAGCAATTGAACTGTCATTGGAGCGTGTCGTGGGACTACACTATACACTACGTTCTTTGTTTTTGACTTGGAAAGTGATTTAAATTTGTTGAAGGACTTTAGAAAAGTGGAGGCGTTTTGGTGGCAAGTTTAAATTGAATGTTTTTGAAGTTTGCTAACTTGCAGTACTGAGTCAGTTTTAAAGAAAACTTTGCCTACACACAAATAAGTTGCTTAGAATTTATTCCTCCACTTATGAGCTTTTGATATATATATTTTTTTTTTGTCAACATTTTCCACCTTCTAAGTATTTCATTTGACGGCATACATTTCGCGAGCTGATTTACATTTTACTGCCAACATTTCGTATCGTTCGCGGCTGTATTAATAATTCATTCTATGTGGCAATAGTTGTGTTCCACTTCAAGCCGCCGCATCACGGCATCACAAGCGTCACTTTTGCTAACCGAAATTTGTAGATTAGACGAGCTACTTAAGTTGAATTGAAAAGCTAAACTTAACCAATGACACCGATGCTGCGCCAAATACAACAACACCGACTGACTGACTTTCTGATGGCTGCACAGGCGCATGTACAACAAAGTACGATGTTTGCAAATCCTTCGCTGCTGCTCTTCTTTGCCAGCAAATCAGTCGAACTTCATCGAATGTCAACGTCAAATAGTAGCACACTTGTTCGCGGCATTTCTAAGTAACTTGTCAAAATATTTACCTTTGTAAACGAGCAATCCTTCTCGAGCCCAATCCTTACCCCCCCCACACCCTGCTCACTTCCGCATTCGCAAAAGTTGTCAAGCAAAAGTTTATCTTTATTTTAACTGAATGACAGTTGTTGCTGTTTTGTTGTTGTTGCTGCTATCGTACACATAACATTATTCGCCTTGTTGCCATTTCGCGCGATTGACACTTGAAAATGCAAATTCGTACAAGTGACATATTTAAATCGTAAATTTTTAATTTTGCTTTTTCGCGTTCTCAGCTGCGCACATTTGCCATTCAAAGAGAAATATGCAAATGAACCGAATCTGTGTGTGTTGGCTTGAAGGTGAGTTTGAGATGTTCTAAGTAAGAGAAGACAGGGGCCTGCTGAGGAGTTTTGAAGGGATTTTAAGGAAACCTGAAGGACTTGGTAAAGTTTTAAAATTTGTGTTGATTAATTAATTGATTTAATTCATTAGCTTTAACGTCGATCATGGTTCTAGTTATCCTGAATTAAGTAATGAATTCTGTCTACGAAAGACACGTTTCAGATTCCTATTGTAATCAGGGCTGCAAACCGGTTTTGAACGGAACCGCTTTTTGAACCCACACTGCGCTTTTTTCGGGCTTCGAACCGAACCGTCTTTAAGTTGGAAGGCCAAAACCGAACCGTAAACCACTCAAAAAAATAGTTCCATTCGGTTCAAAATGGAAATACATTAAATAATTTTTCATGTTCTGTAACTCTTATGGTAAAACTGCTAATATTTTATTGCTTGATGGCAACTCCGTGAATTGGCCTACAAGGTTGAGAACCTATCGAAAATGAGGGCTTCAACCCTAAGTCAGGATTTTCAGTGTCAATTCCAAATTCTGAGTATGCAGATATTGTCTATGATTTATGTAAGATTGGACTAACGGACAAAACTTACGAGAAAACTATAACGCAGGAGGAAGGACATCGAAAAGAAAACTAGAAAAACGGACAAGAAAATGATAGTAAGATTCATAAAATAAAGTAAAAATATATT